TTAATTTGTTTGAATGCCAATTGATAGTAGGGATCCCTACAAATTCAAAAAGGTATAACATTTCAAAATCAGACGTTATTAAGCCGAGATGATCAAAAAAAGTCATCAAGAAAGTTATGATTTTCAAACCGAGCCTGATTTTGAGAAAAAACGTGATGTAACCCCTTGCCATTTTGTTGATTTGGGTCAAAATTTAGATTTTCATTTTTTTGATGCCAATCGATAGTACTGATCCTTACGAATCCAAAATGGTATAAAATTCCAAAATCTGACATTATTTGGCCGAGATTTTCCAAAAAATCATCAAAAAAATCGTTTTTTGGTCAACAACTTTTTTTTATCCCATTAAGTTGTTTGAATGCAGATCGTTAATAGGGATTTAATCGAATTTAAAAAAGGTATAACATTCCTAAATTATTTGCCTAAGATAATATTTCTGTTTTCTGTGAAAATATTAAAAGTGGAAATTCTCAAGAAAATGCCGTCTGTATGTTAGTGGTATATGTTTTCATAACTGTAACTCTCTTTTTAAGTTTTGGTTCCATTGAGCATTTGTCAATACATGTCGCCTTTTAGTTGGGAATGTAAAAATCCAATAATAGCTGCTGGAATTGTGCGTCTGATAATTGGGAGTAAAATTCTGCTTTTTTGTTTAATCCAATTCTTAAAAAAGCAGCTATTAAATAAGCTAAGTAAAATATGCATAATAACCTTTCAGACTGCCCGAGGCAAGAGCTCCTAAGAAAAACATCTTCATATTGAATACTGAGGTCAAACTAACAGAGTGTTAAATTGTGAGTGAGTTAAGCGGACGAAAAAACCGGCGCACAGAAAATAAGCAAGCGATCAGAGTTCGAGTGAAAACAATGCGCCACATTGCTTAGAATACACACCCACACAAACACGTGTATGCGCAAAGATGAGCCAAAGCCAGAGATAAGCAGTCACCTGTTCGTGTGTGTGTTCGCTGTAATTTATCTACTTACGCTCACGCGCTCGTTCGCGCTTGTTCGTGTGTGTGTGTTCGCTGTCATTTTGCTACTTACGCTCAGGCGCTCACGACTCTCTTTGGTGCTGATCGCTGATTGGTCCAATCAATAACGGCTGGCAGTGATGTTCTCGTCTGGTCGTTCGAGTGCTCTTCTTTCTGAGCGCGGCTTTTATGGATCTGCGCGACTTTATTCTGTGTTAGTGTGGCCCTATTAGTCAATATGGCATGTTGTTGTGCTGCGAGCGATAGTCGTACGGGTCGGAAGTATTAATAGCCATAAAAAAATCGTATTCTGAAGTTTGACAAAAATGGAATCAAAATTTGAAGAAGTCCATTGATTTTATAGACTTTCACGAATGTAAAAGTGTTCATATTATTGTAATTTTCTCATCACTTCGCTAAAAATTCGTGAGAGTGTGATTAATAAGAAGATGATAGACAAGCAATCATTTACACATACATACATATGTTTGGGTGTGTGTTTTCGCAATTCATTTCTACTTATGCGTGTCTATGAAAGGCGCTCGAGCTGCTGTTTGTCGACTTTTGTCCACTTTGCGTCCGCGCAACATGATTTTGTGTTAGTTAAACGGCAGCAGTCGAGTATAGCTATCTTAAAATAATTATAAGTGCAAATTCTCAAGTAAACGCCATTCGTATCTCTAATGGTATACGTGTTCGGACTTGTACGGGTCGGAAGCATTAATAGCCAAAAAAAAATCGTATTCTAAAGTTTAACAAAAATTTAATCAAAATTTGAAGAAGTCCATCGATTTTATAGACTCGCGAATGTTAAAGTGCTTGTTTTACTATAATTTTCTCCTCACTTCGCAAAAAACTCGTGAGAGCGCGATGATTAAGAAGATAATGCACAAGCAAAAAATTCGCGAGAGCGTGATTAATAAGAAGATAATGCACAAGCAATCATATACACATACATATGCATGTACATATTTAACGATTCTCTCTGCATACATATGTTTGGGTGTGTGTTTTCGCAACTCATATCTACTTATGCTGGCTTGTGCATTATCTACCATTGAACGGCGCTCACTCGAGTTGCTTTTGTCCACTTTGCGTCCGCGCAACATGATTCTGTGTTAGTTAAACGGCAACAGTCGAGTAAACGCCACCCGTATCTCTAATGGTATACGTGTTCGGACTTGTACGGGTCGGAAGCATTAATAGCCAAAATAAATCGTATTCTAAAGTTTGACAAAAATTTAATTAAAATTTGAAGAAGTCTGTCGATTTTATAGACTTTCACGAATGTTAAAGTGTTCATTTTATTGTAATTTTCTCCTCACTACGAAACAAAAAAGAAGATAATGCGCAAGCAAGAAATTCGTGAGAGCGCGATGAATAAGAAGATAATGCACAAGCAATCATATACACATACATACACATGTACATATTTAACGATTCTCTCTGCATACATATGTTTGGGTGTGTGTTTTCGCAACTCATATCTACTTATGCTTGTTTGTGCATTATCTACCTTTGAACGGCGATTATTCCAGTTTGTGAATTGCTCGCTCAGTTTGCTGTGCGCCGACTTTGGACAGCGCTCCGAGTAAAGCTCTTTGAAAATATTATAAGGGAAAATTCTCGGGTTAATATCGTCCGTATCGGGAATATCAATTGACATGTAAAAAAATCGCCTCCTGACGACAAATTCTTCTCGGTTCTGAAATATAAATTTCTTAGTGCTCTGTCGATTTAGAAGACTTTCACGTATCCCAAAAGGTATACCCTTCCGAAGTCGGACTTAAATTAACCGATATTAAAATCTTACAAAATAATAATTCATATTTGTTTTTAGAATTTTGCAGCTAAATCTGTCATTGACAAGAAAACATTCAATAACGTTGGTACCTAAATGACCTTGGTTATTTCATGCCGAGCCATGGATATACCTTTAGCAAAATGGCATTTAAATTTTGACCAAAATGGCAATGGTTACATGAACGTTGTTACCAATCTGCGTGGATCTCAAATCAACATTTTGTAGAATTCTTCCGATTTTAAAGGCTCACGAATCCTTAAAGGTATGTCTTTCCAAAGTCGTACGTAATTTAACCGATGTATTTTAGTTTACAAAAAACTAATATGTTTTTCATTTTGTATTTTTCAGCCTAATGGGCCAACGTTCATAGACAACATATAATCAACAAATATTTAGTTCGTTTTTAAATCGGCGGAATTATTTCTCTTTAAAATAACAAAAACAATATTTCCGCGTGGAATAATGTCATCTTTGGAACTGCGGATCTGCGCGAGATTATGACACAATTCATTTAATTTATTTCAGCCAACTCTGCCACGTCCATGGACAACATTTAATCAGCAAATGATCGCTATGCATGGTACCTAGTTGACCTATATATGCTTGGTTGTTCCATATCATAGATATAGTCCTAGCGAACCTAAAGGACAAAGTTCTTGCGAAATGCGTAGGAACAGGGTCTTAAATGCGTATGCTTTTCTTTTACAGCCGTCCCCAGCAGCAGCCCTGCCACTGAATGGTTTCTAGTTGACTAGCATATCCTTGGTTACACCATACCATCGATATAGTCCTTGAAAACCTAAAGGATCGGATCTCTGCAAAATGTGCATTGAAATGGTCCAAAAACATGTATGCTTTTTCTTGCAGGAGCCCTTTTACGTTAGCTGTAGCTGTTGTTTAACAGCAGGCCTACAGCACTCTTTTAACATGAACTGCTACTTAAAAGCACTCATTTTAAATGAGTAACATTTTTGCAATTTTTTATTCGAAAAACTCGGCGACCTTCTGGGCATTTCTGTTCGCCTGGTGCTTGAGTGGAATTTTAGTGCTAATTTGGGACCGGCGACGAGGGTGCCCCTTTTTACTACGTCATTTTTCGGCCGCAAAAATATTAATTGTCGACCTTCTGGGCATTTCTGTTCGCCTGGTATTTTTGGGAAATTTTAGTTAAAATTTGGGACCCAGCCGACGGCGAGGGCGCCCCTTTTGGGTATGCAATGAAATTTTTCGGCAGCTAAAAATATATATTTTGTCGACCTTCTGGGCGTTTCTGTTCGCCTGGTATTTTGGCAGAATTTAAGAAAAATCTCGGCAGCCACCGGTTGCCAACAGACGCCCCTGGCGGGTATGCAATGGATTTTTAATTTTTAAATAAAAAACAGGAATTTCGTTTTTTTTTTTAAATAATTGAATTTATTCATGTTTAAATTTATAAATTTGTTGTGTTTTATGCTTATTTTCTTAATTATTTCTCTTAAAATAATTAAAAACCAGTACGAATTATATTTGTTGCTTATTTGCACTTAAAATAGCTATATCTGGCTTAATAACAGTCCGATCCTGGAAAAATTTGCTTTATCAGTCGTGGAGGTCCTTAGAGCTCATTTGTAGTCCTTAATTTGTCAGCCTGAAAAGATAAAAACACATTTAAATTAACAAAGACATAAAATATATGAAGTCGTTTTTTGCAAGGAAAAAAGGCCATAACTCGGGCATGTCCTTGCAGATTTTCAAAGGACATGGTGCGTTAGGATCGTATAGAACCCCCTCATCGATCTGCATCAAAAAAATATGGGGTCATCTAAGAACCCCAGGACTTGTGTTTTTACTTGCAAAATTGCAGTCGCGGAACGCGCGGAAATGGCCCAAAATCACAAATCCTTGAATATTTCCGAAACTACAAGGACGATCCTAATGAAATTTGGCCAGCTTGTAGTCCTGATTAATACAATTTTTTTGACCCAGGACTCGCAAGCATACGCAAGGATGTAACCGAGTTATGGCCCATTTTCCCTTGCGAAAATTGCCCATAAAACTTCGCCGTTTGAAGGACTTTCGTCCTTTCTGTTATATTTTCTTAAATGGTAGGGTGAGCACTATCTACTGTCCAAAGGACATCCCGATAGTCCTTCAAATGGCCAAGTTAGACCCGATTTTTTCGATTTTAGCCACTTTTGCGACTTACCCCCTATGAAAATTTTTGGTGAAATTTTTTGTCGAATCTTGGAAATCTTGAATGATAATCGATAGTCCTGGTCCCCACGAGTTCAAAAAGGTATATCCTTCCGATATCCTTAAGGATTTGGCCGAGTTATGGCCTTTTTAAAAATGTCCTTTTTAGTAAAATACGCATATCTTGGAAAGTAGAAGGACGATTTTGATATCCTTTGGACACTTTAAGGTCCTTGTTCATACGATTCGTTTGACACAGGACTTGTCAGGATCTGCAAGGGTAAGGACGAGTTATGGCTTTGTTAATTTACGAATGAATTTTACTGATAAGTATGCTGTCTAAAGGATTTTCGTCCTTTTCGTTATATATACTCAATAAGGAAGATAAAAACTTACGGTTGGCGAATGGACATCATGATCAAAAAGGACGCGGCCGATCTACAGCCTTTTATCTTTACAGACAAAAATCTCTTTTCCTCAGCTCCTTGAAGGATTTTCGTCATTTTTATTACAAATTCTAAGTTGGCGGGACATGGCATACATGTTGTCCAAAGGACATCAGAATTGTCCTTAAGGTGGTCAAATTAATGTTCTTAAAAATGACAACAGCCATATCTCGAAAACCATAGGGACGATTTTAATGTCCTTTTGGCATTTTATAATCCCTGTCATACTTGTCACTCGTATTTACCCGAGATATTACAAAAAAATCATCAAAAAAGTTTTGATTTTGGAACCGACTCCGATTTTGAGAAAAATTTAGATTGTCAGTTTTTTGTTGCCAATCGATATTACTGCTCCTTACGACTCCAAAGTGGTATAAAATTCCAAAATCTGACATTATTTGGCTGAGATATTCCAATAAATTGTCAAAAAAGGTTGACGTGACAACCGAATCGGTTTTTGGTCAACCACTTTTTTTTACCCATCGATTTTGAAAATGTTTGAACGCAGATTGATAGTTGGGATCCCTATGAATTCAAAAAGGTATAACATTTCAAAATCTTACAGTATTTACCCGAGATATTCAATGAAAATAATCAAAAAAGTCTTAATTTTCGAACCGACCCCGAATTTGCGAAAAAACGTGATTTAACCCCTTGCCATTTTGTTGATTTTGGTCAAAATTAAGATTTTTATTTTTTTGATGCCAATCGATAGTACTGATCCTTACGAGTCCAAAATGGTATACAATTCCCAAATCGGACAGTTTTTGGCCGCGATATTACAAAAAATCATCAAAAAAGGTTGACTTTACAAACGAATCGGTTTTTAGTCAACCACTTTTTTTTACCCATCGATTTTGAAAGTGTTTGAACGCAGATTGATAGTTGGGATCCCTACGAATTCAAAAAGGTATAACATTTCAAAATCTGACAGTATTTACCCGAGATATTCAATAAAAATAATCAAAAGAGTCTTAATTTTCGAACCGACCCCGAATTTGCGAAAAAACGTGATGACACCTCTTGCCATTTTGTTGATTTGGGTAAAAATTTAGATTTTCAGATTTTTGATGCCAATCGATAGTACTGATCCTTACGATACCAAAATGGTATAAGATTCCCAAATCTGACATTATTTGGCCGAGATATTCCACAAAATCATCGAAAAAGGTTGACTTTACACACGAATCGGTTTTTGGTCAACTACTTTTTCGAACCCATCGATTTTAAAAATGCAGATTGGTAGTAGGGTTCCTTACGAATTCAAAAAGGTATAACATTTCCAAAACTGACAGTATTTACACGAGATATTCAATAAAAATCATCAAAAAGTTTTGATTTTCAAACCTACCCCGAATTTGAGAAAAAACGTGATGTGACCCCTTGCCATTTTGTTGATTTTGGTCAAAATTTAGATTTTAATTTTTTTGATGCCAATCGATAGTACTGATCCTTACGAGTCCAAAACGGTATAAAATTCTCAAATCGGACATGATAAAAAAAAAAACAAAAAACTAAAAACTCCAAAATTATAATGGCATCGGTATTTCCCTGATAAACGCGTTTTTGTTGGAATTTTGAAGCTTCGTTTAGGTAGTAAGCGCCATCTATTGAAAGAATTATTTCTGCCCACTGGATATTTGGTCATTTTGGGTCAAGTCGGACTTTTGGATGGCAATCATTCCGAAATCGGAATACTGGAGACATTATTAAAACTTAAGCCATGCAGAAAGGTCACATGCCTAAGAGTATGGTGTGTGATTTTCGAGAAGTTTCTTTTGCGCGGAGCACAAAAGTATGCACTGGGGTTTGCCTGGACAGCAATTATTTGAATTTTTTTCAGAAATTTTGGATTTCCAAACAAAATCAAAAAACGTGATATGCAAGTCGATTCCAGAGATCCGTACGAGTTCAAAGAGGTATAACTTTCCAAAATCGGACAATTTTAGCCGAATTATCGAAAAAAAAACAAAAAATCTTCAAAATTATAACGGCATTTTTTCGCGTTTTTCAAATGGCTCGGCCAAATAAGGCCCGATCTTGGAAAGATTGGTCTCGTTCGACTCGTGGTCACAGCCATTTTCAGCCAACATCGTAATTTTTGCGGCCATTTCTTAGAATTCAGATTTTTGGTGTCAATCGATAGTCGGGATCCGTACTAGAAAAAAGAGGTATATCATTTCGAAATCGGACGTATGGTACCCGAGATATTACAATTTTAATTTTAATACAAAAAAAAAAGTATTATGTAGACAGCACGAAAGTATGCAGTACTACTAAAATTCTGCTAAAAACCGCTACCAACGGCTATAAATGGCTAAATAAAGCCCCTGTTCCCTGGGATTTTGGCAGAATTTAAGAAAAATCTCGGCAGCTGCCATAACGATCAAATTTTGAATGAACGTAAAATAGCCATATCTTGGTTAAATGAAGTCCGAGCCGGTGGTATTTAGGTTTCAAAACCGATCACATTTTGGCAAAAATAGTGATGTATTCATATTCATGGCTTTATTCATTTATTTTTATAAAAATTATATATTATATATTATATCTTTATTTAATTTTAAAACATTGCACGGTTTCGTTTGTGCAGAATGATGTCGGATCATGAAACGATTTGACTTTTTTGTGTGGGAACTTCAACATGAAAACAGAGATAAGCAAAAAAAAATATGTGTTGGTTTTATAACCAAACGCATGATCGGCCAAGTTTGTGAAGTACTGGGTAATACCCGCTATGATACATACATACATGTATATTTATATACATAAGTGTAACGCAACTAAAAAGCAGCTAATTTCAACCGTTGCGCAATAAAAAATATGTATGTTTATATATATACCATATATAGATTGAGAGACCCCTTTTTGGCCAGATGGGCACATGGCCCAAATCAACTGAACCGATTTTGCCAGCTAGGCTATTAAATTTATGACGCAAGTAAATTGAATTTTAAATTTGAGTATGACAAATGCGTCCCACGCACACGCCCACACACGTGCTAAAGCGCGGCAGCGTGCTAAAAGGGAGTGGTGGTTGTGGGGGCGTGTCAGGGGCTGGAGCAGGGGCTGCATAGAAATTGCCTATGCGCGCACAAAAGTCATAAGTCGGCAATGGAAAAGGCAACAGCAGCGGCGAAAAAATTGCCAACAATAAACGTGACTCCAACAACATATGTATAACCAAAAGTGTAAGTGTGTGTGTGTGGGTGGGTGAGGGTGTGAGGGTGTGTGCGGCACGCCCCTTGCACCGGCAAAGTGTTGACGCAATGACTAACTGAAACTGCCAGCCTGCCAGCCAGCCTGGCGGGCAGACGGGCTGACGAGCTGACGCACTGACTGATTGAGTGAATTTGAGATTGAATGACAGGCAGTCGCCCAGAAGGTGCAGAATGGGGGGGTGCGGGGGCAGCTTGGGCAGCAAATCAAAATCAGCACAAACTGTAATGGAAACGACAAATACGTGCGCAACAACAGCAACAACAACAACAACAACTGCGAAGTGAAACAAAAATTTGTGTGACAGTAAATTTAACGGCGAGTGCCGCCTCATCAGAGCGACGCCATATTGCAATTGGCTGCAGGGGCGCGTATTGGGGGCGTGGCAGTTGCCACCTATTTTTTTTGGATTCATCTATATATATTTTAGGTTTTCTACTCGCCAAAAGCTGATGTGACAAATTGGCGCTTTCTGTTGCCGTGCGGCCTGCTCAATTATTGTGTGGAAATCAAATCGAAAAAGATTTTCTATTAGAGAGCAAACAACATGCAAAATGATAAACACAAGTTGAAAATTCAGCACACGTTTCCGATTCCGTTTCTGCTTCTTCTATCAGCTTTTTATTGGTTTTTTTTTTGGTCTTGGCCAAAGGCGTCAAATGTAGCGTTAACTTGGCGTCTCTGACAAATCAGAGAAAAATCTGAAAATTAAATTACCAAAAACATACACCTAGCCCGGCAGCACAGAGCGGGGTGTGTGTCGGGGCAAGGTATGTCAAATACATACAAGAAAAGAAAAAAAAACAAACGTGTCATGCTGCACTTGAGACTGGGCGCAGTCAACTGCTGCTCTGTCTCTCACTCTCCCTCTCTCCCACCTCTCTCTAGCTGTACTCCTCTGGGTGTTTCTGTCATTGTTTTCGACAGCAATTTGGGTTTGTTAAGGGGAATGGGCTTGGCATGGGGTGTGGGGAGCACACATTGACATTGTCTGCTGCGGCGACTTTTTAGTTCTCAAATCAAAAACGTATCAAATAAAAGATTGCTCGTATGCTCCATAGCATACTTTTGTGCGCACTCAACACGTGCCCAGCGCCAGCTACCAGCTACCCCGCTCCCATTCCAGCTCATTGTGCTGCTCCTGCGGATGTGAATGTGATTGTGATTGTGAAGCTGACGAGTACTTTCAGCTCGAATGCTGCTGTCAGCAGGTCCATGTCCAGGGCCAGCGAATGCGACATTTTTCGATGGCTGCTTAGCCACTTGGGAGTTTCGAGTTGAAGCTCCAGACGCTGACGAGGCGACGATGACACAAATGTACCCCCCAAAAAAAAAGTTACCAAACGAGCCAAAGTATAATCAGAAAATAAAAATAGAAATAGCGACAACAACTTTTTAAAGCACTTAAACATGAAATTCTATTTACAAGTGCAAATAATGTGTGAGTTGTACAATTTTTAAGGCTTCTCTGCGGCTGTTTTTATGATGAAAGAAAAAAACTGAAGGGTGTTCGAGATAGAGAGGATTTGGTGTAGTCGTTACGACCCCACTCTGACCTTTTGCGCAGTGTCAGAGAAACATGGGGCGTAGATTGTATCATTTAACTTTATAACAAATTGGAATAACAACAATAATTATTACAAAGGTCAGATATTAAGGTGGCTAGCTCAAGCTAAAGGTTTTAAATACATTTTTGCCGCTCGCTTGAAGCCTAAACCTGTTGCGAATTTTAACAAAAAACAGCAAGGAGAGCATAACGAAGCCGACACTTCGTATACTTATAAAGTTATTATTTAAAACTCATAACTTAACTTATAAAGCGTTTATAACATTCACTTTTGTCTAACATTACCAAATTATCGTTCACTGCGATTCGAGCCTAGCACTTTTTAGCACGAGGTACTTAAACTAAGAACCAAATGCAGAAAGAAATCCTTCCAGAAATCAATTCAGAAAACCGATGTTACATAGAACTGAAACAGACAACGTAAGAAAACTAGGTCGAAAGTGGAAATATTGATAGAAAACTTTCCTTTTAAAAAGTTATAATATCAAATTATTTTAAAGTTAGGCATTTAATTTTCTCCTATCTCGTTTATCAGCATAAAAAATTAAATTTTAGAAATAAATAACATGTTTGCGCTTCATGCAAACATTTTCAGCAAGCTCTGAAAATTAGCAATGTTATAATTCAAACTGATTACCAAGTCCAACTGCAAACAGCTAATTAAATAACCAAAATTTTGAATGCCATGCCATTGTGTTGCCAATGCATATAATTAACCCACATACGTGACGCCGCAGCCCCTTACACGTCGCCACAACAACAACAATAACAACAATAACAACAACAACAATAACCAACAACAACAGGTGCAACCACAACTTGGAGCTCGCAGCTCTCACCTGGGGGATCCTTTGGTGTTGAATGTGTGAAAGTGCGCTTGCATAATTTCATTAAAATAACTGTCAAAAATTTCACGTATGCCACACACATGCACACAAACACACACGCTAAGCCTGCGGCTCGCATGCACACACACCAATGAACACACACGCACACACAAGCTAAAACCAACAAAATGCTAAACGCTTCGAATTCAAACGCGTATTTTGGAGCCTCTGCCGCTGCGGCGCAGCTGTCAATAGGAATTCTGCAGGTGTCAAAAATATTTCAGGCATGACTGTGTCTGTCTCTCTGCATTAGTATGTGTGCGTGCGTGTGTGTGAAAATTGGCATAAATTGCTTTAGGGCATTGTGGGTAGCAGCACATGCCACACTCGCGCATGACTCTCTGCTTCTCTGTCTGTCCGTCTGTCTGTGTGAAATTAATTTTCATTATTGGATTGCGCGACTTAGACATCATTATCATGTTCTTATCGGCATCGACACACATGCCACACAAATTTTTGCTCTTCATGTGGCACCTAATCGCTCAGAAAGCTCTGAACATTTGCCACAAAGCCCACGAATGACAATCGATTTTCGATTTAAAGAATTTGACATGCCACAAAAAGCTGCTGATTATGAATTTGTGTCACTTTTGCAGCAAGAATTTTCGGTTTTGATTGTATCTCACATTGAGGGATTTAAATTGATGCCTTGGGATCAATGCATAGAATTTTTAAAGTATTTAAATCAGCTTGAGCTGAATTTTTGATTGAATATTCAAAATAACTTTAAACTTAGTGTTCATTAGTTTGGAAAAAATAAGCTTCATAAGCATTTAATTTTATTTATTTAGAAATTTTGCTCACATATTTATTAAACCGACGAAAATTGTTTGCAGTTTCGAACTTTAATGCAAATTTGTATAGTTCCCATCGATAGCTTTCGAATTTCTCAACTGTCGGCAGTTGCTTCTGGCTGCCACAAATAAAGCCTAATGAATCCAAGCTATATTTATCTTCATTAGTTTTCATAATTGACAAAAGATATCAAGTTATAATAAAATATATTGAGGCAAAAGCGATAACAGCGCTCGACTGTGTGCTACCCTTTACTGGGTAGGAAATATATATAGAAAGCTTTCGATGGGAAATATCAAATTATACAAATTTCATTCCCAAACAAAGTTTGGCACTGTAAACAATTTTGGTCGTTTTAATAAATATGTTAGCAAAATGTCTATTAACATAAAACTATCATATAAAGCACATGACATAATTTAATTTGAGTTAAATTATTAAAAAAGTTCTCCCTTGCCTAGACACAACTTTTAAATAGCAATTCCCAATGCTAATGAGTAGAGATATATCAGAGTGACAGATTTCAGTATTCATTCTTTGTGTTAAAGCCAAATTGTTATCGCCATTTTGGGCCCAACAATTCAATTACAATTCTATGGGCTGTCATAAAGGAAACTCAATACCAAAACTCAAGCATTGTGGCCAGAGTTGAGCTGCTCGGGCATAGTTTGCACGAGTGTCTCTTTGGCCGGGGTAACGGAGCAACCATTTTATGGTTACCCGAATGCCTCACAGATAATGAAGAGGAAGCCTCTGGCAGCACACATGTGTGCGTGCGTGTGTGTGTCTGTGTGCTCTTGAGTTGCGGAGCTAAACAATTTTGTGGAAGCCACAAAACTAACCAAGCAAATAATTTGTGAAAATTGAATTGAATCTCGAATGAATATGAATATAAAGCAAATGTGCCTCCCACTCAGACACTCACCCTCTCTTTCGACTATCTTTCGGCAAATTACAAATAATTCGGCAAAATTTAATTTGATTTGTCAGTCAGTTGGCAAAGTGCTGCAAACTCACGTCAAAGTTCGCAAATCTGGGCGGTCGGGGTCGCTTTGCGCTTCATTGCCAGCTTAATTGCAAAGTTGTATATCAAAGTCTTTGGCGGCGGCCAAGTAACCAAAACGAATTGAAATCGAATCACGTTGCCGGCCGCAACGCCAACCAACAAGCACTTCAACAAAAATGTCAAGTGAAATACCATTCAAATCTTTGGCCTCACTCGAGCCCCGGTTGCGTCGCACAAACACAGCAAAAAAATAAAAGCAGAAACTTTCTAAAATCAACGCCGAGCACCTTTTTGAAAAGGTAGCGAAACGTGAGTTGACTTGCCAATGCCAGAGCGCCCATAGAGGACCGAGAAATCGAAAGCGAGACTGAACTTAGCTACAGCTCGGAGAACTCGAAGAGCTCGAAGAACTCAGCGAAGTCGGCACTGGGAAAGCCCAACTTGAGCTCGCATCAGTCGCAAACATTTTCGTTTAATGAGACCAATAAAAGCCTGTGGGCCCGACCCAGATCCTGTGCTCCGGGGTCTCCTGGCGAAATCAAAAGTTTTTTGCAAATTGCATTTGTAATGGCAGCGACGCTTAAATCTTTTATGAGCTTCATACTCAAGCATATTATGGAAGGAGCTGGGTTAAGGGTGGACACCCTAGCACAGCCGGAAATGAAATTGAAAGCGCACGCACGTGTTTAAGACGTTAAAACCCTTGCCTCTAATTGTTCGCATGGGACAATTTTCGGCAAACTGTAAAGCTGGCCACGCCCACCCAGCAAATAAAATCAAGCCAAGTACAGTTTAGCGCCGAATTATTTCAGTTTCGATGTGCAATTGATCGGAAAATCTTAAAACTTTTGTTGGCAATTTCTAAAACGAAAGTTTTAAAATGAGTTTGGAGACATTAACGTATTTCTTTAAAACGAAATTTTTGTTGGTTTTGCTACGGTCAAATACCCTTAAGTTCTCGTCTAAATTAGCTAATCAAACTGAGCGGCATACTGGGGTAAAAGAAATAAAGGTTGCTGGTTCGACACCTAAATTAAGTTAAATAGATATTGCATACACATAAGGAATGTTGATGATGTATAGCGAATTGCATTAATAGAATAGATATCAAAAATACCTTATTCATATAAAATAATATCTTAATAATTGTCCTGAAATTCCTACAGAAATCAGAGTAGGCTTTTGCTTTCATGCCAATTCAGTTGTAATTGTAAAATCAAATGGGCTTTATTTTTAAATTTTACTCACAATTATTGCAAAGGTGCGTATCCCCCCGCTTTCCCATAAAAATAAATATATTTATTGCTAATTTTTGTACTTTTTAGAAATTCATAGCCATGTCTCATACGATTTTGTTGGTGCACCCAAAGAAAAGTCCAAAGACGCGCACCTATACCGAATATAATAGCACTCAGAAATGCTTGGATGCGGTCTGCAAGATTTATGAGGAGCATCTGAAGCGTAACATGCCCGAATTGCCGACGATTACCTATGATATCATACAACTGTTTGATTTCATCGATTCCTTTGTGGACATAAGCTGCCTGGTGAAGGAGACGAGCACAGGAAACTATGCGCCACACAGCAAGGAATGGATTAAGGATAAGATCTATGAACAGTTTCGCCAATCAGCTTTAAATATTAAGTAGAATAAATAAATGGCAAACTAAACATTTTCTTCTTTTTTTGATAACAATTCCCAAGAATTGAAAATAAAAGTCCAGTTTATTTCATTCGTCTGTTTCGCACGGGCAAATGCAAATGAAAATTAATTGCGCTACAAATGTCTCGGAGAAAATCAGATACAAACAAGCAACAGGAAAAACAATTAATTAATCATCAGCAACAAGAAGAGAACATTAACTACAATCGTTCGCCAGAGAGTTCCCGGCGGGGAAGTTCCCACAGTAAAAAGTAATCCACTTAAACTCGAATTTGTCAAAAGCATAAAATTACAGAGGCAGTAGCAAATACAAGATGCTAAAGAGGGGGAGGAGAAAAACATGCGACAACAAATATAAGTGCCAAAAAGGGGTGCAACAGAATTGGGAAGCGGAAAAAAAAGAGAAGGAAAATACAAATGATCGCTCATAAAAAGTGACACTTTTTGGCGCACCAGCCAAAGGTGGACAAAGAGACAAGCAGTACAGCAAAAGCATGTGAAACGGACGGAAGGGCAAAGCCAAGGGCGGGAGAGGGGAAAACAAAATGTCGCTTTTCATCGCATCCGTCATTCGGTTATATTGGAAATTTGTTTCAATCAAAGGTTTAGCAGCAAATGGGCAACAGTGGGGCACACGTGTGTGTGTGCAGTTATGTGCCATATCGAATCACTCAAAGTGTTGCAAAGACAACGCCAGACAAAAGCACAGATGCCCAGACAGACAGACAGACAGACAGATAGACAGACAGTCAGATGCTGGCGTTGTTGGAGTTTATTGCCAAATGGTTATCATATTGCTTATAGATTTTGCAACAGGAGCCGACTGACATTGATTGATCAATATGAGAGCCGCAGTTACCTAACCGTCAGTTACCTGCCTTTATCTTTTTTATATCATGCTTCCTTTTTTTTTTGTCAACTCTTGTTTCGAATGACAGACTTTTGTTTTGCCGGCGAGGTGTGAGGCGGGATTTCGGCGTCTGCAGCTGCGTTCCAAGTGATTTCTGCTTATGATTAATCACTACGTGCCGCATGGGGCAACAGTTGGCAGCAAAAGAACTTTTTACAAAATAATATAACTTGAGCTTTAACGCGCACAGTTGGCAAAATAACAACAACAACAACTGCAACAGCAACAAAGCAAATTAAAAAATATTTAGGCAGCTGTGGCGAGCACTCGAAATTTACGCAGTGCAAACTTATATTTTATGATTTTGATTGCGAGCATTGCGAATGCCCCAAAAAGTAGGCAACGAAAAATGTAAAACGTTTGCCTGCTGCACGATGGGAGAAATTGAGAAAAATTGTGACTGTCATGAATTTTCAGTTTTAAATAATTACAAATAAATATAATAATAAAACCAAGTATTAAGAGCTGCGAAGATAATTTGAGATATTTGGCCGGATTTGAGCATTAATGGACTTGATTTGTTATCATCTTTTAATGAAAGCATTTCATAATGGACTAATTGAAAGTCACAGCTTCTAGATGTAGAAAGTAGGGTTTTCATATAGATTACTTTAATTCATTTCTTAATCATTCTCACATAATTGGTGTGTTAAACTTAGTTTAGATACTTGAGATGGCATCTTAGACAGCAGCTTTTCTTTTAGAAATCTCCTAGAGGGATTTTCTTTAACCAACTAGCACACATATTATTAAAAACTCAACAGGAGAATAATCTTTACCTTTGGGTTTCTCAAATAAGCCACACAAGTTATCAAATTGATCCATAGTGCAGCCAGGATTCGCATTCGCATCTGAGCTGTGCAAAAGTTTTGCCTGCTTTGGTGTGTGAATTTACGTGCGTGTGAATCAACAATGGAACAGCCTGTAATAACAAAATATTCCAAAAATCGTTTTCGACAACATTTCCCTAAATGTATACGACAGGCCGAACGGGGAGTGTCTAAAAATTAATCAAATACAAAAAATAAATACTCGTTTCTCCCCAATATAATTTGTTTCTCATAAAGTAATACTAATAAAACTTCTCATATTGGCGTTTTGAGGGCGAAAGTGTTTTGTGTTCATATCTGCCTCACAATTCAAATGTCTATTGCATTTTGATAACAGCAAATTGACGGCAGTTTTCACAAACACTTGCACACAGATACACACACAGATACACACACACACAGCTTTCAATTTGAGTCAAATACAAATAAATACGGCACAGCTGCTGCGCGTATCTTTCGAATATGTTAGCCAAAAATATAAAAAGTGTTTTGTACTCCACTTGTATTATTTATGCGGCATTTCTTGTGCTCATTTTCCCATGTATTTCACATAATTTAAAAGCCAAATTGTTTTTCAATTGGAAAGGAACACAACAAAACAAATAAAAAAACAAGCAAAGCAATTACGAACACTTTAAGCACAACTGGCAACAGGCATTGGGTAAATATTTTTGCAGGCCAACATATTTTGTAATTTTCTACACATTTTATGCGATTCGTTGTTGCTGTTGTTGCTGTTTTGCTGTATTTTGTGAGCTGAATGAAAGGACGACCCGAACAATTTGGTGTAATTTAATTAAATGAACACAGCAGTAGACCAAAAGCAGCGGGCAGTCTGGCCAGCACTGGCCAGGCCAACAGACAGTCTAGACTTGAGTGTGAGCCACGGGGCCAACGAGGCCTCAGGTCCTGGGCCAGGTCCTGCCAATTCACAATGCATTGTTCACTGACTGAGGGATGCTCAAAATGACAAAAGTTAATGCCTAGCAACGTCGAACGTTGAGAGCGAACAAAGGCGAACAGTAGCAACAACAACAACAACAACAACAACAACAACAACAGCAACTGCTATTAGTAGGCAGCCAGCCAAAACCCGAATGAAAATAATAAAAAGGCAATGACTATGACGCTGACGTCCATGCTGATAGGCAACCAAAAAAAAAAAAATAAAAGCAAAAACAAAATGAGAATCGAGAAGAAAGGCATTGCCAAAGGAAGGCACTGAAAGAGAGCCATGCAGGACACCTGCTGATTAAGATCACAAATTGAAAATCATGCCGGGACCCGACAGGACACGCTTCTGATGGCAGCTGCTGGCAGCTACCACATCAACCCCTCCTATTCCCTCCATCCACACCACTGTCAGCTATTTGCCAAGCTGAGTGAAAAAAGTGAGAGAAAAAGAAAAGAAAACACTAAACATTTGCGTTATTTTCATTAGTGCCAGGCGCAGGACAAGTTCAATCAATGCCCGTAGTTTGGAATTTTCGAATTAAGCTAATCGAAAGCGCAGCCTGTAAATACACACACCCACACACACACACATTTTACTATCGTACAAAATGAGAACTGTTTGGTCTAGCTTTTGACTTGAATACAACAAATTTGATCAAGTATCTGTCTGAAAAGTTTTTTTTTACTAAGGATTTGAAGGCTATGATGGAATTTAAGTCGGATCAAGCGAATTTTAAATGCACTTCACATATAAATTTGACTTGTACAAAATATACTCCATAAAATATACCCCTTAAAGAAATGTAATTAAATAAGTACCTGTAAATTAATTGTATTCAAGGTGTAAGCTAGGTTTCGGGATCGAAACTTTACAAAAGACTTCAAGTTATTATATAAAAGCTTTAAGAAAATAAAGCAAAATCTTTAAATCTGGATAAAAATCTCCACAAACAATTTCTGAATTGAATATAAAAGTTGGGCGACACAAATGTCGGAACAAAGAAAGAAGCTTTGTCTCTCAATTATCTTTGGGTGATTCAAGTAACTTTTTAAAGGATAATGAAGAAGGTCTCTTCACATCGCGGATTCATCAGGTAAAGCACACGTAAGTACAGAACTTTAATAGTGCCTTTTTTGTTGTTCGCTTTCATTACATGTTGTAATGCCCATGCCCAGAGGTCATAGTTCAGACAAAGGCAGCGACTGACTGGCAGGCGGAGAAGTCGACACAACAGACAGCTAGACAGTTGCGCTCTGGGCCCGGAGGGTAAACGGCAGAAACAAAACTCAAAGTGTTAATGAAATTGAAATCAATAACAAGTGCAACTCACTCACACACACACACACACAACCATTCAAAGCTGTTCACATCAAAGCGCAGGACTGACCATTTAGAATTTGACTGGAACTTTAATAAACCGATTATATCTGGTTATGTGTTTATATTTGAGTACCCCGTACAGAATCAAATATGTAAAAGCAGTTTGATATTAAGACTAATTTTGTTTTAATTTTCTAAAGCTAACCGGGTTCCAATAAAAGTGGTAAAGTTAGATGGAAAACCCCCTTCTAAAGTAAAACTTAGAAAAGAGATACTGCGATCTAGATAATCCCGTAAAAAGGGACTAACAGTTGTGGGGTAAATGCATGTGCATAGTTATTTGCTTTTTAATCATAAATCGATAACTATCGATTTCCAAACATGGAATTTTTAAAAATTTATTCTTATTAGTGGTGTAATATGACTTATATATATATGATAGCTACATAAATATCCTTCAGAGACAAATGCAGGATATCTCCTAGTCCACACACTTTCAATTAAATCATTCACACTCTTTTTTTGACAACTTTTATATGAATACAGCGTAATCAAGTGTAGAAATGTTTGACTTTATTCGCTGCTAACCACAAATTGAGTTTTGTGAGTAAATTAAATGTTGGCAGGCGCAAATTTTTTATAGAATGTTTAGCACTAAATGCTGACTTTTAACTGCAAGTAGAGAAAAAGAGGTAGAGAGAGGCTGATGCACTTCACAGAGTTGGAGATAGTGAGAGAGAGAGAGAGAGAGAGAGGGAGGGAGAGAGGCGGTTAGTTGGTGGCCTGCCACATGTGTCGTCAAGTTTATGTGGCCAAAAACTTGCAAACTGGCAACTTTCTTAATTGTCTGATTGAATTGATGATTTAATAACTTTAATTTAATTTGAGAGTCGTTTCAAACTGTGTGTGTGAGTCTCTGTGTGTGTGTGTGTGTGTGTAAAGTTCTTTGGAGTTGTGTGCTTAAAACTTTGTCAGTTTTGATTTTCATTTGGCGTGGTTTGTGCTAAGTTTCTGAGCTGTGCGAGTGCCAAAAGCCAAAGATTTTTCAATGAAATTATTGAAGTTGCAGTCGGACCAGCAACAGCAGCAGCAGCGGGAGCATCTGTTGGCCAAGTGAAAAGGTTTCGTATAGGGACTGGGTCCTGCTCTGTTGCAATGAATCAAAAAGTAAAATCAATTTTTGTGCCTTTCCCTGTGCTGATGGACATGGGCCAGACCATTAATCCAGCCTGGCAGAGCCGGTAACAAAAATAGGAGGCGACAACATTGATGTGGACAATGCCACAATGCGATTGCGGTCAGCACTGGACATGGCTGAATCCAATGTTGAGCCGCCTCTGCCGTTGCCTTTGCCTTTGCCTGGGCAGTTGCCGTCGCCGCATCCGTTTCCGGCTCGCAGCGTAACTAAAATACAAAAGCTTCCAACAGCAGGTCCTTGTTGTCCTTGTCCTGCACTTAGGAGCCGCAACAAAAAAGCAGCCCGAATCGAAAATCCCAAAGAAAAACAGTAAATACACGCAAAGTTCTTTAGCCTCAGTTGTGTTTTTCTCTTTTCGGATTGGGGTTTTATTTAGCCTGGCCAGGATTCAGGAGTGCAGCTGCTGTGCGGCAAGTGTATCAGATTGTGGCCAAAAAACTTGAAAAGCAAAGTTTTTGGCAGCTAATTAATTAAGTTCTTTGCAATCGCCTTTTGGGGCCAAGTTCAATGGTCGGGCAAAAAGGCATTTCCCTCTGGCTCTGGCTGGAAATTGCATTACCGTTTCGCGGCGCGACTTATTAACACGGCCTAGCCAATGTCAACAAATTGCATTATTGGCGCAATAAAAGCGAGACACACACACACACCCTCACACACACTCAAACTGCCCTTTGGAGTGTGTGCGTATTTTAAATGTTATTGAAAGTCGCCTTGTTAACTGCAGACAGTGCAAATAAATATACTCTGCAAGCATTTTGAGATGATTTTAATGACTTTTGCCTTTATGCAGCAGGAAGTTGTTATGAAAAGCTCAAATGCGATGTTATCGCTTTGGTATCTTCCAAGCAATAGTATGGCGATAGCACTGCCCTACAAGAGCAAGACTTATATTGCCCGAAAAGTGAACAAAAAAAGAGTCTAATTAGATACCTTTTTTGCTTACAGAGAAATTTTTGTTATTATCGTTAATGTATCTCCCTGGCGACACTTATTCTATGGCTCAGGGGAAACGCTTTTCATTACCTATTTCTTTTCCTATCTCCTCCTGGAAGAGCCAGTCTTTTATTTAACGCATCAAGCAGTAATGACAGGGTATTTACTTATATATGCTGCAGTGTCCTGTTCGGCCAGCGCAGGACTCGAACTTCAATGTCGATGTCACTGGCTGCACACGCTTCAGGTGTTAATGATTTAATTTCGTTTCGTGTGCGGGTAAATTTCATTACTGTTGACAATGGCACAACACACTCCGAGTGTGTGCGTATGCGAGTGTGCGCGAGCGAGTGTGTGGTTAAATGATAAGGTTTAATCATATTCAAGGGTGCCGTGTTTCAAGCATATAATATTATCGAAGCCCGAGCGCTGCATTTAAAGGTATTTAATTTTTGCTTTTATCAATTGAAAAATCACAGAAAATTCGCAAAATATCAGTTAATAGTTTGATGAAATTAAATATCAGACGCTGGTCTATTAACATTTATATATTCACTCTTTTTAATTTATGTGCAATTTAAGGCACTTCAAATTCGATTAAGGTACCTTTGAGTTTTAACAATTAAATGATTTTAAAGCGAGTCGTAAGTTTAATATTGTTAAAGCGTCCTAATTATATTTCTATGATATAAAACAAAATTAAAGGCATTTATATAGAGACACATTATTATTATTTTAAAGAGCTTAGTCTACAATGCTTTACTCTAAAATATTGTTTCACATTGCATACAGCTCAGTTTATTTATATTCAAAATTATTTTAAAATATTCACTTTGTTTATACACAAAATGCATGTTTATAAATGAATATTTAACTCTGACTTTTCGCACGCCCAATTAAATTTGTTTATTGAAATGTTATAAACAAAGGGTATGCAAAATGTGTTACTTAACGAAGGGAATCGACAACAAGAATAACAAGAAGAAGAAGAAGAGCAACTTCTGATACCGCTGATAAATATTAATGCCAAGCAAAGTGTGCACTGAGCCGCACTGCGGCCAAAGGACTTTGTCGAAGTGGCCGACGACCTGCGGCATTGGGCAAGGGATTGACAATGGGCGTAGGCATGGCAGTGGGCACGACAGTAGGCATGGTCATGGGTATATACGTTAGCTGCACAATTCAGCAGGCGGCATTAATATTCATTTCCATGGCTACAATAACACAGAGCGAACGCGCTGGCCACAGGAGGCGACCAGGCTATAAAGACAACAACAGCAACAGGAGTAGCAATAGCAACAGGAGAAGGGACATAAACGAAGATCAGGGGCAGGGGCAGGAGCAGGAGCCGCACTCATTGTCAGTGCTCGTCCAGCAGCAAGTCATATTTGTGCCCCGGTGTGCGTGTCAAAGGAATTGTTGAGCCAGGACAAGCCATTGTAAGCGTTGCCAGCGACTGCTCTTTGACATTCATTTAATTGAGTCGCCGCCAGCTGCGAGCTGCGAGCGGCCCCTTTTTGATTTTGCATTTCAAATGAAGCAAACGAATCATTTTCGTTTTGTGGTTTGCGGTAAATTAATTACATTTTAGACAACATTTGAAGTAGTCTGACGGCGAATTAGGCAACAGGCTTTCAGCGGCAATTCAGAATTTCAGTTGCAAAAATTTAATAGGCATTATTTGTGAGTGTGTGTGTGTGTGCCAAGAGAGGTGTCCTGCAGACTTTGTCCTCTCTCTCTCTTTTTTTTAAGGCACTTTTATTTTATTATTATTATCGCTTTGGCATAATTCCCAAAAGCCAAAACGGCACAAAATGGCCCAAAACGAGCCGAATGGCTGCCAGACAATGAGGCACAACCGGAGCTTCACACTTTTGTCCCATCTGCAAAGGGGCTTGCTGTGGGGGGCGGGGCGAGGCAAATAGCAAGTTGGCTGCCAACTTGCGGCAGTTGAGACAACGGTGTGAAAAATGAAATTATAAGCAAAACGACAGGCTGCCAGCGACACGAGGCGACGCGACGCGACGCGGCAAAGATACACAATAAAAAATTGTCGACTAAATTAGAATATTTTATGCTACTTTCTTTAAATTTAAATTAAATTTTTATGTCCAGAAAAATTGAGCAATCGATCGGGGAAAAAAAATTTTAAATTGTTCGAAGACAAACGAACATTTAATATTTTTTTTTTAGGACTTGATTATTATTTTGTCAGAAAACTTTATATTTTACGGGATAGTCTTATGGGATCAATATATATTATTTTTTTTAAGTATTTGTCAAATCAAAATTTAAGTTCAAAAATATAAAAATTCATACTATAAATTAAATACTGAATGGCTTATAAGAATCATTGTTTTGGGACCTGTCTTTTGTCGTTTGTGACTTGACTTAACTTAATTGTTTAATTATATTATCTTTTTATTTGTTTATTTATATTTTCTGTTTTAATATTCTTTACCATATTCAGAATATTTCCCGCAACGAAATTTTATACATCTAGACCAAGAAAGCCAAGTTTACAACCAAAACTCAATTCTGGACTTGAAAATGTTGTAAAAAATGTTTAATTTAAAGCAATTCTGGCCGTGTAATAGGAAGCATAGCTAAGTTGGCCTAAAGTATGGCATCATCTTTGCCTAGAGTCGAACGCATGACAGACGACAATACATCTTGGGCGCATTTTAATTTCATGCTTAGCTTGACGCTGCTGTGTCCTGCGCCCTGCCTCCTGCGTCGTATTGTGCCCCTCACCTCGCACTCGTCTCTCATCTCCTGTCCAGAGGCAGCTCCTTTTGATTGTTGCTGCGTAATGACATTTAATGTCCAAGGCCCATATAATTGACTGGGGGCCGAGCTGTGAGGCATTCGCAGTTACTGCGCAATTCATGCGCGACTGCACAGCAGTTAAATTCTCGCTGGAAATATCTTATACTTCTGCATTTGTATCTTTAGCTGTGCGAGTATTTATATTTATTTATATATACACATATATCTATCTATTCTTGCTTGGCCATTTATTTTGTATTTGGAACGAAAAATTTCGGTGGTCGCCAAAATTTATGAGCCAAAGTGCAGCGCAACTGCGGCTTGTGGAAAGCTTAATTGTGCGACCACATTATGCGGAGGCGTGTGGCATATGCCACAAAGCAAAAGAGCTGCCTTACCTGTGCTAGAGGCAATAATAATTGCCTTCTGCTACTGAACAGCCAAAGATTTTATGTTGCATGACTTTCAGGCATGCCTTCGAAGAGGCACTCGACTCTGGCATATAATGGATAATAATGCTGAGATATATGGCAGAAAAGTGCCGCATTTAAAGACAGGTCATTAATGTGGAAATAAATAAATAAATGAAATAATGAATGAAATAAATTATGTTGCGCACTGAAGAAGAGGTTGGGGTTTTTATTGGCAGAAAAATATGAGGGGTAAAATCTGCTATGGAAAAAGCAAGGACTTAGAAACAGATTCGTCTCTGAGGTATTTACTCGGTACACATATCTGTCGGTCAAGATATGAGAATTGTCTATAACTTATATATAAAAATTAAAAAAAAAATGATTAAATAATTATTTTTATAGATTATCATGCTATATTATCTCTTATATAATGCACATTCGAACCATGAACTCCTCTTGCTGCGATTATGAACAGGGAGCGACAACTGTATTGAGTATACGCCGCGTAATCTTTAAGCCGAAAATTGCACAGGAATAAAAGCACGCGCTGCTATTAATCAGCTTTTGTGCAGTTTCTGTCTGACTGTCGAACTAATCAACTGATTGACAATCGCTGCAGGCAAAGCGTGCTCAATTTATTTGCACTGAGCAGCGAATAACTAATCTATCTTAGATATTTTGAAGATTTATGCAGTCGAGGAGCCAACTAGACAGCCGCCAAATCCAGACAGCTGCTAACTAAGCAACCACTTGGCAGGCCACTCAACTGAGTGGAAGCTGAGGTTTTCGCGCTGTGAAGTTCAGCCCAAGAGCACTTTAAAGCGAATGCCACGTAATTCAAAGCGCCTGCCAGCAACATGCGTAGCCGAATGCGTTGCAGCTAAACAATAAAATGGCCGCAGGGCAACAACAATGGAAACCAGCAGCAACAACAGCAACAACATCGAGGCACCTTTAGCCGGCTGCTAAGCAACAAGCGTGAAAGGAGCTGTGCACCAAAACCAGGATAATGCATTTGATCTAAAAGCTTGCTGCAGGCTGTGGAGAGGAACCCAGGAAATTAATTACAAGAGCTGACTGCACGTGGCAGACAATGCAAGCTCCTGCTGCTGTTCTTGTTGTTGATGTTGTTCTTGTCCCTCATCTTCTTCTTTATTTGCTTCCTCAGGTTTGTTTTCTTTTTAGCGTAAATATTAATTTTCACACCTTTTGACATATGGGAACAATGCACAATTGTTGTCGCTGTCAGCGACTCTCATTCAGTTACTCTCACTGCCGCTATCCCCGGGGCTTTGTTATCGAATCAGGCTGCATTTAAATGCATGTTAAGCTCGAAGAAGACTCCTTTAAGTTCAGCCTGGTCAATGGCAGGCAGTGGCGGCAGCCTTTGTCATAATCTATGATTTGAGCTTGAACTGTGTGTTCGTATTGGCTATACCCAGTAAAAATGTATGAAAGAGGGGTATATTGCAGCTGAGCAAAGGTTCGTAACAGGCTAAACGGATTAGCGGTTGAGCTTAAATAAATATATTTTCATAAAAAACTGCACCGGTTCAATACTGAGCATATTTCGAAGATTAAGAAGTTAGAGCAACACATTTTCAGATTCTGATATCGTTTAAACACATAAAATACCTTTTACTCTTTAAGTATCTTCCTAAACCTACCCAAAATTTGAAATTTGTTTATAAACACATTTCAATATCATCTCTTCGACCCAAACCTTTCAGAACAATGCGACAGGCACCACATCATTTATTTATGAATTAACATTTCATAGTTTAAAGGCTTGAGGAAAAAAGGAGCGCAGTTGCGGCGCATGATTTGTGTGCTGTACAGGGTAACTTGAAGTCGAATACTCGTATTGCTTGCATTCGCTACGTGCGCTTGGCAAAATGATCGCAAATGAAACTAACCCAACCCCCACTTGGAACGACTCCAACTTGAGCTCGGACTTCGGCATAATCTCGCACGTAATTTGTGTGCATGCGACAGAAATGTCCGCTGCACCTGGCGCTGGCCTCCAACCAGACCCAGCCAAACCGTCTACCCATGACCAACACCCCGCACCCGCACCCCGCTCTGTTGCTGTCTGTTGGAAAACTATTGTCTGGCCAAGTTGTTGACAGGCACGTTGACGTCATTGTTTCGTAATTTGTATCCTTAGCTGCGCATTAGAGCTTAGTTATACACTGCCAAAGTTGCCAAGGTCCACTCCTTACTCCTTACTTCCCCCCTGTTCTGCTCATAAATGTGTGTTTGTTTTTTAGAGATTTAGTTTGTCATTTTTTGCCGGCTCTTGGCCCTTTGTTTACAGTTGTTAAAGCGTTTGTAATGCGCTTTTAAATGGTCATGCAGCAAATGAATAAAGAATGAAAAACAATTAGCCTGATTCTCGTTCAGCTTTTGTAATACGTTGCGTATGCGTAATGCGATTAGCTTGATTAGCGTCTAGATCACTAGATTAGTGTATTTAATTACAGGGCTCACTAGATTTTGCTGCCTTTTTAATTAAATTTCCTTAGCACATTATGCCTAATTCATTAAGCTGCTGCCGAGCCCATTGGCCCATTCACCTTCAACCCTTTGCCGCCTAAGTAAACAAATCTGCGCACTTCATTTGCACCAAGTGCTGGAAAATCTGAAGCCGCTTAAGGCGCATTTCCTGACCCAACAACAACAACAATAACAACTACAAATTATAAACAAACAAAAAAAGAAACGAAAAGCAAGTTGAAACATTTAAAAATGCGAACTGCCGAAGACTAAATACCCTTTAACAGGATGCTAGGCTGCTGTAGTTCATAGCTTTATCTTAGTCAAATGTTTTGCAAATAGTAAAATTATTTAATTTTCCTGTAACAGCTCGCTTTTCTATGATTGAAAGATAAAGTAGGCAGAACTTTATATATTTCTGCTGAATGCCTTAGACAGAGGGGGCATGTTTTGATAGATTTTTGATGATCCGAAATCCTCATCAGTTGTTCTCATAGTAGCTATATTTGTAGGTCGCAATCAACGAAACCCTCACAAAATATCTAAGGTTGCTTATTTTCAAATGCGCTGAAATGAATATCTTCCAAAATAATAAAGTTCTTAAACTCGATTTTTTACCTAATATTTTTCTGGCTTCTCATTTGAACAGTTATACGAACTAGGTCGTTGCGATATCAGGTATTATAAGAAATAGTCTTAAGAGAAACCATTAGGCTTTGAAGTAGGTTCAGAATATATAGTATATATATGTATAAAGTCCATGCATTTATGGAATATCATACTTCATTCAACAAACTGATAAAGATTTACATTTCAATTTTAAGCAGTCTCACATTTTTTCGCAAAATTATAATACCCACTGCTAGAGCATCCAAAAAAAAGAGAGAGAACCCAATTTGAAGGGCGCAAAACTTAATCGACAACTTTTGCAGCTGATAAAAATGTCGAGTACTGCCAAAGCAGGGCAGACTGAGTGAAGGAGGCAGAGCTAGATAGATAGATAGAGATAGAGCCATAGAACAAGAGCTCTTTGGGTTTGTCATTCAAGATGTCGCTGCAATAAAATTAATGCACAAAGTTTACTTTTACCTGCGCGTGGTCCTTGTCAACGGACAAACAAAAAAAAACTTTTCGAATTCGTAATGAGCGGCAACTTTTTTTTTGTTTTTTTTTGGCGTTAAAAATTTGATTTGAGTTGAGGGTTTGAGTGAGGCGCAAAGTTTTCAAATAAAAATTAAAAATTGTCAAGGCGTTAAATTAGGGTCACAGGTAAAGAAAGCGAGAGAGTGAGAGAGAGGGAGAGAGAGTCTCGCTAAAGCAGGACAAACTTGAGTCAAATTGAAATTAAATGGGGTTGACAGAAGCTAAAAAGGGTCAACGGGCAAACGGCTGCTGCAATTGACAGGCCCCTGGTTACGTTAAGTTAAGTTTGTCAATATTTC